GCCCCTACATGGGGCGAGGGCTTCAGATGTCCCCCCTATACCCTACACCCTATACCCCAAACCCTATATGAATGTCCGAGAGTGAGTGCTGAAACCCTAAACCCTAAACCGGCATGTGAGCCCCGTGGAAGCCTGATCAGAACCCTTGTGAGAACTTTGGTGTCAACGCATCCGGGTGTCCTAGACCTGAAACCCCAAAACACCCTTAGCTTGAATCCCCCCTTAAACCCTAAACCCCAAACCCTAAACCTTCAGCACCAAAGTCACATACCGAAGCCTTCAACCCCAAACTCTTCCAGAGACTCAAATAGCCAACGAACCACCGCTAAAACCTATATGCCCTTGAAGGATCCCGTGGAAAGTGTTAAAGGCTCTATGAGGCGTCGGAAGAATTGGCATAATTTGGTAGAAAATAGTGCCCTTCATAGTCGTGTACTATACCCCAAACTCTTTTCTAATTGGTAAGGCCCCTAAAATACCACCACAGGCCGCAAGCCCCAGCTGGACACAGAGCTTTGCGGTCAACTTCGGTCCAGTTGGGCGGAAACTGGTCCGATTTACAGGGTTGGATTTCGGGCTCAGGGTTTATGCCATTGCAGTCACCAGCGACATCGGTATGCACTTCGCATGCTGCCAACGCACGCTTTAGTGGCCGAGCCATGCCCGAAGAAGCCCATGCTACCAAAGGGTACCAATACATACTTCAGTGGCTGAGCCTTGCCCGAACGATGATAACGTTCATGCTACCAATGCGTACTTCGTGGCCGGGCCATACGCAAGCGATGTTACTGCCCATGCGGCCAGAGCGTACTTTAGCCACCGCTCTGAAAACCGTGTAAGTGGTCGGCGGCTTTTTTTCTGGGCTTTCTTGCCTTCAGAGTCTTGTACTCGGAATCCAATTGCCCAAAATGCTGTAACAAAAACCTAGGTGCAAGCGGACGGTGTTCTGTTTGTTTCACCAGTTTCGGTTCGCAGACCTACCCCGCATGCCATTGTCCGACAACACCAAGGTGCTCGTCCGCTAAGATACTGTATGTGTAAATGACGATGATGATGGTGGTGTTGGTGATGGTGATGGCGATGCATGATGGTGATGAGGAGGATGAGGACGACGACGAGGATGACGACATTGATGATGATGCTCATGATGATGATAAGGGCAGTGGCCATGGAGTTTAGTATTGTGGAGAGGCAGTGGGTATGAGTTGTGACTGCAGGTCATGCATAGTCTCCTGGGAAGGGTTCTGGAGGAGTGCATGCAAGGGTTTTTTTCGTGCAGCTGGATGTGCCGCAAGAAGATACGACGTCATAAAGCCCACACCTGAAGCTTGCAGACCAAAGCCTTGTAGGCCCAAAGTGTATCATCAAACTTGTCCTTAACCCTAAACCTGAAAGTCCCATATCCTGCTAAACCCTAAACCCTAAACCCTGCAGAGCTGCTGCCGGCTCCCCATCCCGAAAGTAAAAGCACAAGTAAGTGTAAGGGTAGTCGTGATGGTAATAGTAGTACTATTCGTGCGACACCACAAACCACGAAGGCTTAGGTATCAAGAGAAGCGCAATTACGAAACATGATCGTTTCATTTTCGTTTTTTGAGGTGACTGGCCCACCGCAGGCTTAAACCCTGAATCTAAAACCCCAATACAACCCTAAAGCCTAAACCTTAAACCTCTAAGAGCGCCAAAGCCACCTAAGTAGTACAGGGGCCTGAATAATTACCAACTCTGTTTTGGGGGGGTTCCCTATTCCAATTTTAGTGTAATGGGCCCTATTCTAGTTAATGTATTGCAAAGGCCGCTTCACTCGAACAGTTTTCTGGTTCGGGAATCAGGTTTTTCAGGTAAAGGGCCTAGGGGACGGCTGGAGGGCTGTAGGTGTTTAGGTTTTACCCGAGGAAGTATTCTACGGCCGTGATCTTGAGCGACTCCCAAATGTGGATCTTCGGTGGAAACAATGGCCATGACCTTGGCCAGAGATTTCGCGGGGTTTAATTAGGGTTTTAGGGTTCAGGCTGTAGCACGTGCGAGCAACTTTGGAGTTTTGTTGGATTCGGATCCCGTGTGTTCGTGTGTATTAGCTTTAAGCGCCGTAACCATGACGGTAGATTTTGGGGGCATAATGTACTTTATCAGAAGATAGGGGCGAGAAACATCCCCTGAAGTCGTTGATGGCAGTGAAGATATGTGACACATACTTTGAAGGATAGGCTCGTAGGAGTTGTGGCATGCTCCTGGACTCTCAGACGTACGTACTTCAATGAAGGGACTTATATCCCCAACCCCCAAATTAAGGGACTTATAGCCCTTGGGCAGTCGCGGCTTTACGTCTTTCATATCTTTCCAGAGACGAGCCGTGAGCCCTGCAGCTGATCGGTTGCCTGCCGAGCCCCGAGCCACAAGTGTAGGACAGTTGGGTAAGGTTTGGGTTTAGGGTTTAGGGTTTTGGGATGCGGATTTGGGCAATGGAGCTTGCAGACAAGAGTGGTATGTGCCCAAGTTTTCCGGCCCTGCGGCTAGATGCGAGGGTTGAAGATCCTGTCCTTCTTGCAGGTGGGAATCGTGCAACCCATTTATTGTTCCCTCTATGGTAGAATTGTGCTGTTTGCTACGATGCATGCATATCTACCTTCGCCCTCCGTTTGGTGCTGTTGGCATCCTGGGTTCTTACACTGCTAGGCCTCCTCTTCCTATTCGCCTCGTGCAGTGAAATCTCGCCCCCCGTCCCGCCACCCACCCCCGCCTCCCCCCGCCCCCCCCTCGCCGCCCCCCCCGCCCCCACCCCGCCCTCTCCGCCTGCCTTGCTTGTAACGCCGCCGAACCCTTCCCCGCATCCGCTCCGCCAACGGCGCCTTCAGCACCAGCAGTTCGTTGGCCCTCTTTATTTGCGGCCTGGCCGAGGCGGACGACGCGAAGCGTTTAAAATTATGGTACTGACTTGGTAGGCCTTAAGGCTTCATAAATCTACATAGAAAATCCTTAGGCCCTAACTTCGAAATACTTACATAGGAACCTCGTAGATACGAGGAAGTTACATGCCTGTGCGGTTGCTTGGAGCGTTTTTGGAGTTTCCTTTACTTCTCTGACTGGGGTGCCAAACTCGAGTTCGTTTATAGGTTTATAAGAACCATACTCCCAATTAAGATCCCTCATGTTCGTCTAAGAGAGGGTTGTTGTAAGGGCTCCCTTAAGGGTACTTGGGGGACCATGGGACTAGTAAGTAAGGTTCAAGCATCTTAATTGGCTTTACATGTAGTTATAAGTAGTTATAAGTATAAGCACTTTTTTTATAATATCAGTTGCCAAGTCCCATGATCCTTGTAGTAAGTTCCAATCCACCGTACATTCCTCCATCGAGGTAACGTCGTCTTTGGCGGCGTGCAATGGAGCCCCAGAAACCCTAAACCGGGTTGAGGGTGTAGGGTTTAGGCCTAAACCATAAACCTTTCTCGAGGCGTGTCACTGAATGACCTCTGGTTTGCGGAGGCCGGGAGTGCTCGAGTAGAATGCACTGCCAACTTGGAGGGTCGGGAGACTTTGTTAATTTCTTGTTTTATAGACTTATAGAGTATGAGTACCATATCCCCAATTGGATCCTTCTCGAGGCACTTATGAGCATGAACACGGGGCTGTGCCCACAAAAAACACCAAGAATCATTAGATTGACTAGATTGGCAGAGTAAGGCCCATGGTTCTGGAATTCAGAGCCCTCAACCCTCCGACCGCAATATGCAAGACTAGGGTTAATGCTTTCGCGCTTCAGAAGCTGAGGCTTCCTTTTCATGGATTTGCCGATGTTTCAGTCCGATACTGCGCAGAAAAACTATTATCACTAATATTTACTACTACTACTACTACTA